ATCCATACCACCAAAGTGTTTTGAATTGAAGCTTTATATGTAGAGCTGGTGGAAATGAAGGGGGTCCACAGGATTGGAGATTAACAAATTGCTGCCAGTAGAGTAAAATGTAGATCAATTTTGATTACAAGGTAAGTTGTCAAAATCTGAATTGTCAGGTTCCTTCATTCATACAAAATAGATCCATACCACTAGTGTTTTTAATTTAGACTTTTTATGTAGAGCTTATAGAAATGGAGTCATTTTCTCATTGCATCATTAACATTAAAATTTCTTGCAGCAAGGAAAAAAATTGCAGGTATATATAATTACACTATTCAATTAAAGAAACAAATAATAATTTAGACTTCTTATGTAGAGTTTACAGAAATATCAATTTTATTTTTATAAATTTGAAATAGATTCTATATAATAAATGATTTGTAAAAAGAAGTGAGATCCGATAAAAGAACCTCAAAAAAGTAAAAAAATTACACCAAGTACATGAAAAAATGGGGGACTCAAGGAGTTATCATTGAAAAATAGAAGATCCCCATAAAAAACTACAAGAAAGTAGAAAAATATGTGAAATCGAAATGAGCTGCCAGATGATTCGCCTAAACTTCCGCGGCCTGGAAGTCAAATGCTTGGCGTGACCAGACAAGGCATTCTTAGATCATTATAACATTCCACACTTTCTCTTTCACAGACTTTCAGATAATTTGTCAATTTAAAACTCTGACAATATCATGAGTACACTTTCATTGTTTTGCGTTTTAAAATAATTCTTATTCATCGACACCTTGATCTTGCCTGGCCACGCCAAGCATTTGACTTCCAGGCCGCGGAAATCTAGGCAAACCATCCTGAGAGCTTATTTCGATTTCACATCTTTTTCTATTTTCATGTAGTTTTTTATGGGGATCTTCTATTTTCCAATGATAACTCCTTGAGTCCTCCACTTTTTCATGTACTTGGCGTAATTTTTTTACATTTTTGAAGTCTTTAATCAATTTTACAGCCGCTTAATGACACACACCCGCAGGGGAACAGCGATGAGCGACGTTACGACCGCGTCGAAATCACTTTCGCACGACCCACAGGAATAATCGGTGTTCACCTGTACACGGGAACGAAGGTACCTTCAACGAACGGGCTGTGTTACGAAAGGTGAAATGTTGTAAAGGAAACCTTGGCCCAGGTCGTGTAAAACCTGTCGCCCGGCAAATATGCATCTACTCGACCCTGCTTGAGTCCTTTCGTCCCTTCCTCCACGGGGAAGAGCAACCTGCACTTCCCACGGAAGCGAAGAAGCAGCCTGTTAAAATTGACATGTGCGCGATTCTTAATCTCCCGTGCGGAACCCCATCCGAGTTCCAGGACCGTTCATCTCGTTGCATTCTCTCGCTTGACTTTTCTTTGTTCGAGGAGTGTCTTACTAGCGGACAGATGTTCCTCGAGCATGTGAAATTTTCTGGAAAGAGCTTTTCACGATTAGTTCTCGCATTGTTACGTCACTAAAATTCGACTACGTTGACGATTTATCGATATGTTCACTGACAGCTCCGGACCCAAATGGCGTACTATTATATTTTTCTTTGCTCCTTTATTTAGTATTACCTTAAATCTTTAGTACGCACCTATTGATTTGGAAGTAAAACAAGAAAACAAAATACAATTAATTGTCAATTTGTACTAAAGACATATTAAAGGTACTTTAGTATTTACATTATTATGGGTGAGCAAAATTTCGATAAATTCCATTGTTGATATTTGATGCTTTATGAGTTTCGACATCATAACCTTGTCACAAATGACATTAGTAATGTCACATTACATAATGTTGACTATCCTGGATTCTTAAATGGCAAAATACGTCAGCATTGAATTCAATAATTTAAGAACGGTGAATTTAATATTCTCGATGGCATGAAATCTGGAAGACTCATCGAGATGGATAAAGATCTGCTTTTAGTTGAAATTGAACCGTTTAAAAATTAATAATCATTCAGAATGTAATTGTAAATCCTACTCAAATCCTAAATGCAGAATTTAGGCACATTATTGTGCTCAGCTTAAAAAACTAGTCATGATTTAGATTGAAAACCGTCGCAGATTGATTAATCGAAAAGATGTTATTTTGCAGCATGATAATGCAAGATTTCATATTATAAGGACCACTCAAGAAATAATAAAAAGGTTGAATTAAGAAGTATGTACATATTTCCTCAAACATTGCATTCACTTGATACTACTTCGGTGGATTACTATCTTTTAAGATCTATCGATCATTTTCTTCGAAGAAAATTTAAGGACACTTTAAAAAATTTTTAATTAAAAACATTGTTTAAATATCACTAAAGACTACAACATACTCAAATTTTGTCAAAGAGTGTCTTATTTCGCAAGGAATGGTGTACTTATTTATATAAAGAGATTATTCTGAATGCTATGGTACAGAAAGTAACAGCTGTTGCACACATAATGACTTTTTTATACAGTAAGTTATGTAAGTAAAGAAAAGTAAGAATTAAATAGAATGAAGTAATCATAAAGTCGTACAAAAATCGTAGGAATAAATTTACGTATTCATATGTTAATGTCAATCAACGCGATTTAGTTAAAATTAGATATGGAGTCTCTAGTTAAAGTTAGAGACTCTATAGAGACTAGTTAAAATGTACTTGTAGCGCAACGTATCGAATGCGAATCACACTAACCAATTGCTTAGCGACTAACAAAAGTTTCTTGCAAGTATAAGTAAAATCGGTCTATTAGTGTAGAAGTTATATTTTGGCGGCACCTATCGTAATGAAACATATCTAAAACAAACCTTACTCGTCAGTAACACATGGTTTGAAGATCTCACGATCAGTAGTTCGTTCACGATCATGCGTTTTACTCGCGCACAATGGATTTTGTATACAGAAAAAAGAAAAGATTATACTGATAATACTGAATATTTTAGGAGATATTTCATTTTACTTTTAATATTTCAACACAACTTAATTGCTAATCAGTTCACAGAAGGAAATTTAAAGATTTGACAAATTTCTAATATCGTAGCTGCCATATAATATATTGATATTTTATTATTATTATATTTTATATTTGACATTGATATTTCCTGTAAAAAAAAAAATAAACACATAATTCCATCGACACAATTACAAAGAGCATCATATAAAATTCTCTTCTACGATTTTATTTATCTTCACTCGAAAAACATATATAACCTGATCTTGTTATTAAGTATACTCTGTATAATAAGTGCGTGAAATAATAGGCTGTCTTAAAAATGCGCGAGTAACGAGATGAAATAGTTTCAGGCAGCTTTTTGGTACGGATAACACAGTGTGCGAGGGCATAAGTAGTAGCCAGTCGAATAAATAAGACGACGCGCTTCCGTCTACCTACGGCGGCAACTTGCTGGGTCGTTTCAGAGTTCCATATCGCCTATCGTAATGGGCTTTCTCACGAATCTCGGTCCATTAAAAGAATTCGTTTACGACTTGTTGCGCGCCGATATGGCCAAGCTAACACAGCTAACCGGTACGCGGGACACCGACCGCCGGAGTACTATCAATTAGAATGAAATTGCGCGGGTCCTCGTCGCGAACGCCATGGCGTAGGTGGGGTGAGACGAGGCGAGCTTGTCCTTAGAGATGCGAGAATGGAAAGGAATCGAGGAATCTATTATTCACCTCAGCGGTAATCATCCACGATTGTCTTCGTGTCAAACGCTATCAAGTGGAAGCCAGTACGAGTACTCAGATTTTATTAGGAGGACTCCAAATACAAGCAGCTCGCTGTGTCTGCTCTTCGATGTCTTTAACGATTTTCGCCACAATGACGCTATTATTTCACTTGAAATGCGCCTGACGACAGTTGAAAGTTATAAGCGTTGTCTCGTCTGAATACGTCTTAATCCTTTTGGTATTTATTCATTTTTTCCTCTTTTTCTTTTATTTTCCAGCGAAGAATGTGAGGAATGTCGTCGGTGAACGAAGATTTTCTAAGACCGCTGCCGAGACAATCGGGGTAACATTATTTCAAGTTATTACAAAGTTTAACAGGTCTTCGTCTACGTCTATTTCTTAATAGACGGCATTCGCTGACTAAACCGATAGAAATGATATCCACTTTTGATAAATATTGTATTAGGTTGTCCCAAAAGTTTCTTCCATATCATTAATAAGTAATATATACATAATATTTTATGTCTATGTTACATTATTAAATTGCATATGATTCATTTTGCTCCATTGCTGTTACAACATTAACATCTAAGAAATTAGGTTGTTTATTTATATAAACACTATCAAACAAAACAACTGAGTGCAAGTCACAAAAGAAACTTTCAGGACAACTTAATAGTATGTGTATGGGCCATTCCATCCCAAATCGACCACTTTTGAACCCGATCATTTTTTATTTGGCTGAAATTTTTATGTATTATACCTACCCAACTAAATAACTTTTTATGATTATTTCAGATTTTTTTACTCTACCAAAAAGAAAGTATGAATGTAAACAAAATCAGCGATATTTTTCCAATGGCTAGAAGAAAATGTTTTTATCTCAATTACGGACTCGGCTAATCAAAAAATGAGATTTTCATTTAAATACCTGAGAAAATTCTTTTCCCTTTCAAGAATATTTTTTATTAACCACAAAATTTTGTAGAAAGAAAATGAATTACACAGTTTTGCTAAAGAATTACAAAATTAGCTACAAAAAAGATTCATGAGTAAAGTTTGTATGGCTAATACTTCTCGAATTATATAGTTGGATACACAATTTTTAATTAAAACTGGTGGAAAATCATATAGAGAACCAGTCATTCGGAAATAATTCGTAAAATATTGGTTTCCTGAAAATTCTACAAGGGAACTTTTTCCTAGAAAATTAAATTGTCTATAAAAAACATTCTATACAAAGTCATAAAATCGATCTTTTTGGAGATTTTTGGTGATTGATGTTTTTTAACATATTAAAAATGTTAGAAAATTAATTTTTCGCAGGTAACTTACGAAATATCAATTTGGAATTCAAAATAACTACTCAATATATGTAAGATAATTTATGCAAATACATTACGAATCTTTCTTCTTTATCTTTTAAAATGCATTGTTGATATCCAAGTAATTTTAGAAAGAACTTCGAGATACATTAAAGAATAGAAATAAAAATAACTAGAACAAAATATATTGAACAAATACAACACCCAGAAAATACTTACAATAAGCAATAAATCAATACAAATTTAATTAGAATCACGAGTAAAAAGTTAAAACGGTTAAAGCATATGGTTAAAAAAGTACGTGCACTATGTACATGTATGTTACAACAAATATATCCATACATGTTATTTAAAAATTGACAGTTATTGCTGGTTTCATCTGCTCTGATCACTAGCGAATTGGTTAATGGATAGAAAGTATTATTTTCGTTTCGGAATGCCAATTCGTTCTTATTTGGAATTACAAGATCACACTGTATTTGCACTTCGCGTGTCGCGTAATATTTTATGCCTGTTCTATACAAAACATTATTTTGTCGCGACGACATCTGCAGCTTAAAAGTCACATTATTGTGGCGAAGCCAATTAAGCGAAACTTCGGTGTAAATACCAAGGAAATCTGATCAGCCACCTTAGCCGACACCTGTTTTGATCTCCCTGCAAACAAGACAGGTGCCACCAGAAACTACAAACTACACATTAACTTGTCCAACGGAGAAAAGTATCCTTTAGTAAAAATTGATGCATACATAAAGAAAGAGAATCAGAAAATACACAGGGTGGTCCATCAAATAATTCCACCTCGGTTTACGACAATATGTATAGCGAAAAATAATTCATATAGAGCTGAATGGTTTCGAGTGGGGCACATGGTATTATAATAGAGTAGAGATCGCATGAAGGCCATTAAGAATTTTTAAAATGGGATGATATACTTTTTAATACGCCAATCGATGCAACTTGATAGTTTCTACAAAAATATATTAAGTTATCTATGTCCATAAATAATTAGCTTAAAAGATATTTCAATTTTAGTATCGTTATGAAATCATAATTATCGCGATGTCTGAGCATTCATGTACGGAAGAAATGAATCAAACGGCGTTATATCGAGATTCTACTGCACCAGCTAGATTCTAATAAGCGAAGTGTATTTATATTTATTACATATGAGAAATATTTTACGCGAATATAACTCTTATGTAACTAATACTAAATGATTTCTAGTAGACAAATCTGTCGTCATTGTTAAATATTTTTGTGGATAGGGCAAATGAACGACTTCTCATATTGGCTTCTATAGAGCGAGTGTTTATTACGTGCTTGCACATACAGAAAAAGAAGAAAAGTGTCTCCTTCGCACGCTTAACGTATGTGCCTATAGTGGCGTTTTTGCTTATATTTAAATTTACTTATATTCTAACAGTCACATTTTAAGATATTTATAAATAAAACGCAGTTAATCTAATAAGTTGAAGGATAAATCCTGAGTAATTTATCTGTTGCGCCGAATTAGTAAAGTTAGAGCGCGAGAGGAGCACAAAAAGAAGGTTACCGACCCTCGCTCGATATTCATCCTGAAGGCTTCCGCCAAGCGGCCACTTTTTATCCTGTTTCCGGCTCGGGATCCCTTAGTGGTTCGGCGTTTGTCCACCGGAAGCATTTAGGCCTCGTCACGCTTCTTTTAATTACGCGACTTGGCCACCGCAATCCTTCTTTCTCGTCCGTACCACGCATGCACCCACACACGGGCGTACGCTCGTGCAAGGTAAGCGTATCCTTAGCAGGAGCTCGGCTTGTTCGACACCTGGCACTGCCGAGGGGAATTAATTTTTTGGATTAGCTTATCGCCTCTAGGCGACCTGCTACTTATTTTGCTCGCGAACGAGGTTAAGACCGGCTAAGCAGCTTTGCGTTAATGAGGTTTCGGGAGGAGATGCAACGTTTGCTCTTCCTTTAAATATTGTTTCATGCCTAGGGGAAACTTCGAGTGATAGACCCGTATACTAGTGCCTTCCGTCGCTTTTATAATGAATAGGTCTAAAGAAGAAGTCGATAACCCTATCGTTAAAAGTGAAGTTCGTGTCTTTGCAATAAATATTGCCATTTGATAATCCTTGTTATCGTACTTTTATGAATAGTTTGAACCGTTTGACGGAATTAGTTTTTGGTTGCTTTTCCTTAATAGTTTAAATTTTCGATTAATAGTTTTCCTTTTCACGTACTGTTCATTGTATTTAATGTACCAATCCATCGCAGAACATTACAATAAATTTGACTTTAATGAAACATTTTAAGAAACACATTGTACTATTGAACAATGCTTTGGAGTCTGTAAGACTTTCATACTTCATTATATTTCATACTTTATTTATTTCATTTATATTTATGTATATAATTATATAATTTTTTTTATTAAAATTGAAATTTTTAAGAACCGATCAATAATTTTTAGATTATTAGTTAGAATTATCTTCATAATTATTTGTATAGAATAAATTCATGTAAAGATATTTATTGCTTATTCATCGGTTGTTCGTAATAATATTCTTTTCGTCATGTTAGAATTAATTTCATATAGAACATTTTATTCTAAATAATCTTAATATTAATGTTTATGTTAGAATGTTTATTGCAATCACAAAAGTACATTTCGATGAGAACATGGTTAAAAATAAATCCTATCTATCAAAACAACTATCACAGAATGTCACAAAATTTTCCTATCGTATACCAATCTTTTTAATATTACTTTAGTAACAAATTTTACATCGTTTCTTTTTTTAAATTAAGGTTCTCATTGCTGATCATTTCCTAAATTTGTTAGTATCCTTTTTTGTTTAAGACTATTATTATTATATGCAATCATACATTTACAATAGCTGCATTCATCTGCAAATCTATAACAGCCAAATGAGTGTGTATTTTATTTTTCTTTATAAACACTCTATATGTATAAATTTAATTGGACAAATGGGAGCTATAATTGACCGAGAATATAATTGTTGGAACAACGATGTACATCTAAATGACTTACCGAATTTCGTGGTTTATGAAGTAACTTTCACTTTGCAAAATGCGTAACAAAAACGTCGCGTGTAAATTTTTATTTTAAATTATTGTTATCAGTGTCGGAATCTTCTCTATTTAAATTTGAATGTTGTAGTCCTTAGTAATATTTGAACGTATCTCAAAGTATTTTGAAAAATTCTGAAAAATTTTGAAAATGATCGGTCTTACAGCTGTTCAAAGTTTTGTGCTACCTTTTTGTAAAAAAAATATGGCTATTGAACTAGGCAACGGATGAAAATGACCTTTTACGTGCTTATAGTGAAGACGTGGAAGTATCAAATAAAAATTATTTCAGAACAAAAAAGAGTTTTTTGAACCATTTTTTTTGTTGTGTAACACAGATGCTTCAATGGATATTTCTGATTCTCTATTTACAAATATTGAGATTTCGAACTGGAACCTTATTTTTATCAAAATAAAATGTAGCCTACGTCGTTCCTCAGGATGTAATCTATCTCCTTCCCAAATTTTATCGAAATCTGATCAGCGGTTTAGGCGTGAAAAGGTAACAAACAGGCAGACAGAGTTACTTTCGCATTTATAATATTTGTATGGATTGATTTTCAAACGGCAAGGCGATTGGCCGAAATAATTGTCTTCGGTGTAGAAAATAAATTTTTTCTTTCTGTTGTTTTCCATTGTGCCCTGACTTTTGATTGTGGTAGCTTATTCTGGAATGCCTTTGAAACTAAAAAATTAATTTCTTCAAATTCAGTAAGAAATGTATTTTAATCATTCAAATTAGACGAAAGCAAAAAATGCATGCACGTGTTTTAAACATTCACTTTAATTTATGTTGGGAAGGAAAGTATTCTAAGTCTAATGTTAGCCTGGGGCTCTCTGATTTAGTGTATGTTATACATAACTTTACTAACTAGTAGAACTATCTACAGTTGCAACAGTTAGGACGAATACCTAAATTAGACGAATTTATACAAAAGGTGAAAAACGTATTGAGGTCTAAATTCATTCCAAACACCTTAAGACATGACTGGACATTTTAGCTGAGGAGATCAGTAAAGTAACTATAATTGCGCAATATATCCTTGGACACCCTAATACTTACTCGTGTTGCTCTGTTAGCAGAGTTGACCGATGGCCTGGTTTCTTACACTCCCGTCGCGGTCGAACGATGCGTTTCAGGTATAATTAAAGGAGAGTTTAAAGGCTTATATAGTTCGAGTGTTTATTCGGTCGATAAACCGGTTGACAAACAGGCGTCGAAAAAAAATGTTAATTGTAATGTCCACGGTAATGTGAGTTAAACGCATATACTGGCTTGGGCCCGAGAGATGACGAAAACGACACGGAGAGTCGCAGCTCGGCTACCCTGCAGAGGTACTGCTCGTTCACTCGAGTGGATTCGTGACTCCCCGAAGGTTCTAAACGCCTCGCGAGAGAAATAAATTGCAACCAATCGCATGCTGAGATGCCATGCCCTTGCGATATACGTATACGACGTCCTTTTTACAAAGTATGAACTACTGTCAGACGTTAACAAGTCCGTCTTTGTGGCTCTCGTACTCAGATAATGTTGCCGAAGGACTTCCATCATATGACGAGGATGAACATAATAAAACGTTGATAGTCTAACATTACAATTACCTCGTCTTTTTCTGTGGATGTTAATACGAAGTTGATGTTGGAGATTGTAGAGTACGAGGAAAATATGAACGGTGGGAGGCTTGTTGATTTGTAATTTCATCGTTTTGATGCAGATGTACACACTGTCGAGTAGCGCTTGACAGTCTTAACAATTTTCCTAATCGCTCTAACCGATGATAATCATTTATATAAATGAAAAACAGATTATAGACGCTAAAAAACAATCCTGGATTTCACTTTTCGTTAATTATTTCTATTATCTCGAGCGTTCAATATACAACAAAATCAATATCACTCGATTTCTTAAAGCTTTAGATACATAAAGAAGAAAAACTTTTGGAAAGATGTTTAACCCTTTGTACTTGAAGCCTTTTTTTCTGGTATCTACCAGCATCTCGAGATGTTTCTTAGCATTCTATTGCCATGAATTCGAAGCTATCTAGATTTGAGAATAAGTTCACCTTTACCTCACCGACAATCATTTTATTGACACTTCGAGCTTCAAAGAAATTAAAACTAAAGAAACATTAGGTATTGTAGATTTGCTGCGTGAAACCTAATGGTGACTGAGAGTCACCTCTCA